TTTTCCGTGGATCGGGACGAACTCCAAACTTGCTGATAACGTGCCCCAGAAACAAGAGCTCCTCATACGCAAATCTGCACTTTTCTGGCTTCAGTGTGAGTCCGGACGTCTTGATGGCTTGAAGTACAGCTTCAAGGCGCCGAAGATGCTCGTCGAAACTCGAGGAAAACACGACGACGTCGTCCAAGTACACAAGGCAAGTCTGCCACTTCAATCCTGCCAGTACTGTATCCATAACGCGCTGAAACGTTGCAGGCGCTGAGCAAAGGCCGAAGGGCATCACCTTAAACTCGAAGAGGCCGTCTGGTGTTATAAACACCGTCTTTTCTCGGTCTCTTTTGTCGACTTCGATTTGCCAATAGCCTGTCTTGAGGTCCATTGACGAAAAGTACTTGGCGTTATGGAGCCGATCAAGTGCGTCGTCTATTCGTGGGATAGGATACACGTCCTTTCTTGTGATTTTGTTCTGGTGGCGATAACCGACGCAGAACGTAGGGTCCCATCCTTTTTCTTCACTAACACCACGGGGGATGCCCATGGGCTCTTGGATGGCTGGATAATGTCATCCCGCAGCATTTCAGTCAACTTGTCTCTTCATGGCCTCACGTTCTCGCGTCGAAACCCTGTACGGACTCTGACGGAGTGGCCTGGCATTTTCTTCGGTTATGATGCGATGTTTCGTGATTGGGGTCTGCCGAATTTTCGGTGACGACGAAAAGCAATCTTTGTATTGCAGGAGCAGGGCTTGAGCTGTTCTTGCTTATCGTTCAGAAGTCTGGGATTGACGTCGAAAGTTATGGGAGGGGCTTGGTTCCTCTGAGCAGGTTCCGCAGAATCGGCGAGGGCGAAAGCACTGGTGGCTTCGACAATTTCTTCGATATATGCGACCGTTGTTCCTTTGTTCACATGTTTGTACTCATTGCTGAAATTCGTGTGCATAACCGTTGCTTTGCCTCCCCGCAGCTCTGCAATTCCTCTTGCAACGCAAATATTTCGGGTGACCGAGAGATGCTGACTGCCTTCAACGACGCCTTCGAAGTCAGGTGATTTAGGAGCGCCGACTGAAATAATGACGCTTGAGCGAGGCGGGATGGTGACTTGTTCTTCCAGCGCATTCAAGGCATGGTGTCCTGACGGCGTGCGCGGCGGTAGGGCTGCTTCTGTGGATAACGTTATCGACTTTGTTTTTAGGTTGATGACAGCACCATCGTGGCATAAGAAGTCCATGCCAAGGATGACATCTCTCGAGCAACGCTGTAGGACTACGAGGTCTGCAGGATAAATATGGCCGTTAATGGTGACTATCGCTGTGCAGATTCCTGCAGGCGTTACGAGATGACCTCCGGCTGTGCGGATTTCAGGGCCTTTCCAAGCTGTCCTAACTTTCTTTAACTTCGCGGCTACCGACCCACTGATGACAGAATAGTCGGCTCCAGTATCGACGAGAGCGGTCACACTGTGGCCATCGATAAGATCGTCGAGGTCGCTAGTTCGCCGTCTCGCATTACAGTTAGGGCGTGGCGTCGGGTCACGGCTGCGTCGGCTTGTTCCGCTGCTTCCATGTTGCGTCGTCAAGCCACCTTCGGTAAGTGAGCTTTCGCCGTCAGGGCTTTGCCTGGTTGGCGTTGTGTTCCGAAAGCTCCGTCGCGGGGCGTCGTCGTCGTCGGAGGATCTTCGGTAGTTCGTCGCACAGCAACCGCACCTCCACCGGTTGCTGCTCTTAGTTTCCCGGATACGGGCTAGGAGACCGGCCCCGCGTTGGGCCGGAGTACTGGCGGGGGTGCGGGGACATGCGGCGGCTGGGTGATGGCGAACGGGAAGGACTTCGTGGTGTCCATTGGGTTCCTGTCAGGTAGTCGGCGATGTCACGTGGCCGTTCCCCTGGCTGCGGACGAGGTGCATCGACGGCGAAGCCACGCAGTCCCATCTGTCGGTACTGGCAACGGCGGTAAGTGTGCCCGGCCTCGCCGCAGTGGTAGCACAGTGGGCGGTGGTCAGGGGTGCACGAAACGTCGGTTTTCCTCGGCGCACTGCGCTGGCCCGCTTGCGAACGGTAGGTCGTCGGTGGGGGTGGTGGCGGCTGTGGTGTCTGGCGACAGAAGTGCGACGGGGCGGCGTTTCGGCATGAACGGGGAGGAGCGTTGTGGCGCACTGCAGCGGCGTAGCTCATAGTTTCTGGCTCGGGCAGCGGTGTTTGGGGAATTCGAAGCGATTGCCGAACTTCTTCTCGCACAATGTCGGCGATCGAATCCACTTGAGGTTGCGCCGAAGGCAACAGTTTGCGCAGCTCTTCCCGCACGATCGCTCGGATCGTTTCACGCAGGTTGTCGGAGTCACTGGCTTGAGCAGCAGCGCATTCTGGAGTCAGGCGACGATTATACTGTCTGGTGCGCATTTCCAGGGTTTTTTCGATGGTGGTCGCCTCGGATACAAATTCTTGGACGGTGTTCGGTGGATTCCTCATTAGTCCCGCGAAGATCTCTTGTTTGACCCCTCGCATGAGAAGACGAACTTTCTTCTCCTCAGGCATGTCTGGGTCAGCGTGACGATATAGGCGGGTCATCTCCTCTGTAAAAATTCCAACCTTTTCATTTGGCAGCTGAACCCGGGTCTCTAATAAAGCAGCGGCCCTCTCTTTGCGTGCGACGCTCACGAACGTTTGCAGGAATGCGCCACAGAAAACATCCCACGTTCGGAGCGTGGACTCCCGATTTTCGAGCCAGGTCCTTGCGGTGTCTTCCAAATAGAAGAACACACGACGCAGCTTTTCGTCATGGTCCTAGTGGTTGAGGGCGGCGACATGGTCGTAGGTTTCTAGCCAGGATTCCGGGTCTTCGAATGATGACCCATGGAAAATTGGTGGTTCCCTGGGTTGATGAATTATCATCGTGGGCTGGGACGCTGCGGTTGTCATTGTCGCTGCAGTCGCGGTCATGGCCTTGGTCTTCCGCGCCTTTTCTTGAAGAAGACCGTACTCCGGTGGTAGCCCTTGCTGTCGGCGGCTTGTTTGCTGCTCCTGGTTGGCGTCGGTGTCTTCTCCGCGACGTGGGCTGGGTTCACGGCTTGACGGAGGCGTCCGGTACATGAACAAAGCAGCACCTCCACCAGATGTCACGGAGTCGTGACGTGGCCGAAGACAGGAGACTTCGTGTTGGGATTTAGCTGTTTAATTGAGCGAACCTGTGCCCGGTAAACGGAAAGTCCAATTACAGCAGCAGTCTTGCACAGATAGCAGTCCCGGACTGATAGCGGCTGAACGGAGCGTCGGCCTTCGATCAACAACAACTGACAAGCGGCGCAGCGCGTTGGCATTTATACTCTTGCCATCGAATGTTCTAGCGTTATCGCTGGTAATGGCGTAGGTTCCAGAACAATCTGTACCGTTCGCACAGTGGGCGTGATCTTATCGAAATGATCTAATACCGTCCGGAATCCTTCTCGAAAACTGCAGGCGCGGTTTGCGCTGAGAATCGTGCGGTGTTTTGGGACGATAACGAAAACTTGGGAAATGGAACGTGGCAATATATATATATATATATATATATATATATATATATATATATATATATATATATATATATATATATATATATATATATATATACGTATTCGTTCATTTATATAGGAGTATTTCGAACGTTAAACCCTACAGATCATACATAGAATGCGACCATAAACCCAAATTTATTAGAGGTTGATCAATTCAAAAAGAATAATGTGAAAACCGTAAAGCCGACACAAAATGCAACTTCCTTAGCAAAGCTAGGCTAAAACAAATCGCATCACCTTCACCAAAGACGTCTGGTCAAATGATCTATCTCACCGGTATCTTGGTTCAAAGGCGAGATCGTGTTTCAACTTACCTTGAGGTTCTCAACTCAACTTACCTTGAGTTGAGGTAAGCGATGAAATGAAGCAGCAAGCGATGAAAAGGAAGTTGATAAGTGTAACCCCAAGGGACAAAAAGAGAGTAAAGTGAACAGGCAACAAACGGTTGTTGTGAAAGTAGCGCAAACGCAAGATAACTGCAGGTCAATTAATGATCACACACTGGATTACAAGAGAAAGCAAGCAGGCGAGGAGAGACAGACAGTTAAGTAGGCAGATGACATTAGGAAGTTTGCGGGTGTGAAGTGGCAGCAGCAAGCACCGGGCTGGGTTGACTGGCGGAACACGGAGGAAGCCTTTGTCCTCCAGTGGCGTATTCAGGTTGATGATAATGATGATGATGATGATGATTCAATCTCTTCTGCACGGTGTGCTCGAATGAAGATGACGTCGGAGTAATATTGGACACTGTTAAACTGCTTGCGTTAAAGATAACCAGCACACCTCGTCAAAAAAGTTAAAGCCTTTTAATCAGCCCCTAATTAAAAAAAATGTGATCCTCTGATTAGCTGGCAAGAACATGTAACTGCAGTTTATACAAGGAGCGCCAATATTGCAGCAGCGCAACTATTTCATCTAGTTAGAAACAGCTGATTCTTAAAAAGTGCGCAAGAAACTCAAGGACTAAGGGTACACAATGAATAGTTGATTTCTAACAAGTAATAATAAAATGGGGGTCTAACGTCCGACGTACAAATTACCGGAATCCTAAACATTGTAAAATGCTAAAACGGAAGGCGCTTCGGAAATTCGTAATTTGAGTTCATTCATTAAAGAAATTTTTATAATGTGTGATTATGACTATATGTTCATTGACCACTGTTCCAGTTTTCTATAGTAATAATAAGAAATTTTCTAATTTCTAGCGTAATGGTAAATGAGAAACGATACCCAATTACGAGTTTAGCGAACAACAAATATGTTGCAGTTTCGTCTATATTTTATTTACCTTACTCGGCTCAAAACCGAAGAAGGGCATACAAATTAACAGAAATTTTTTTTACCCAATATTGTGAACAATAAAGATTCATGTTATGTTCGAAGAGAGATCGGTGCTCAATACTTCACATGACTGCATGCAAAAGTTCAGCATTTCAATCCTTATGACAAAGTGTGATTTATCATCCCTTTTAATGCATTATGATTCACATGATTATTACAACACTGTGGGTCAATGCAGGAGCTGATGGATAGATCTGTTAGTTTCCTCGGTAGACTTGTCGGTTGGAATAATTTCTATGTGTCTGGCATAATAACGAGCCCATACAAAACATTTCCCTTGCTTTGTTCAGGCCTGACATGCAAAGATAGCGAGACACAGTGTGAGTGTGCGCACTAGTTGTCTATTTATTACGAGCTAACTACACAACTTTATGTCGATGTCATATGGCTCAGTGAGACCAAGACAGGTACAATCTATAAGACAATGTATAACTTCTGGCAGTTCCAAAAGCAACTAGGGCAAACCAGCGTTTCCCCATAGCTTCATGACATCGCTGTCCTGCGTTTTAAGCGCAATCCAATGTTTGATTTTTTCAATGTGCTTCTCCTGCAAATGGTTTCTCCAGTCCCCGACAACGCCCTTTCGGATGAACTCGCTCTTGACGGTGGACATTCGCTTTTTCCTCAGCACACCTCGGTACACCTCGACAGACTTCAGAGCTTTCTCCGGGGGCAGAGAGAGCAGGTTGGGCATGACGGCCTTGATGCCCGAGCTGAAGGCCTGGCGCATGCTGAGTGCGCTCACCATATCGGTGATCTTCGCGAACAGTGCGGCATCTCGGCGCAGCTCCTCCCCATGCTGCTTTCCGAGGAAGTCGGCTATCTGCAGCACTGACCCTGCAATGTCCTCCTTAAGTCTCTCGTAGGTGATAAAGAGTACGTTTTCGTCGTTTCTGTGCACGTACCACGAGATGAGGTGGTCGAAGTAGTCCCCACAACTGACCTTCCCCTCGACGAACACGTCCACAATTCGTCTAGCGTCGCGTCTGCGTAATTGTAGACAGGCGAATCTCGCACGTGGTGGAAGTACGAAACGCAGCAGTCGTAGGGATTCCGAGTGACGTATATGTACCTGCAGAAACATCGCACAGATACGGGGGAATAAGGCGTCAATGGTGATTTCTCAGTTTGTCATCGTATTCAATTCTATTCATTATACTTCAATGAAAAAGGGTTAGCCTAAATTGTTCTTTAGATCATTTTGTAGTATTCGCCTAATTTCAAAGGAATTGTACAACCGGCAATTGTTGTCTCACAATCTTTATCTGAAACTTCAATTTCACATAGTGTAATCTGAATAATTTGTTCTTTTTATTCACTTTCTTTCGCGTACGTCAGCGGCAAAAATGTTTCAATTACCTGAACTTGTTTGCACTCAGCGTCTGAGAATCTCGAGTTTCACTGAAAAGCAACGTATATTCGCACTGGTGGTATCAATCTAGAAGGAAATGAGGTGCTGGTGGCCTTTTTGTATCATTTTAGTTAGTCTTGTTTTTTCCACTCCTTTTTTTTATTCTTTTACATTCATTGCTTCCTCACTCCTACTGTGTACTTCTTTCTCTTCCTTGCTGTTTATAGCATTCTTCTCGTTGTGTCTCTCTAACAAATCACGAGCCGAAATGAACTAAAGTAGTCATTTTGCCACATACCTGTCAAACAGTCAAACTTACGTGTGATGACAACGTAGGTCAATATTGTATCATGATGTAAGAGCACACATGCAAACCGAATATATCAAGTGAAATATAATGCTCCTTCGAGCTTTCTTTTTTTTTCTTTTTTGCGAGACCCCTACCACTTCTGGCATCATATGCATCATTTTCAGCAAGTGCATAAAAACAATATTGCGAAACTACTGCATAAAACTAAATTACGTGTGAACTATTTTGAGTCTAGTATCCGTGTTTGCACCGTACAAACACTAAGTTAATATACTGTCTATACAGGGTGTACCACGTAGCTTCAGCCAGAGTTTAAAAATATGCCATAAAACGTAATTACTGCACGACCAAATGCACGTTGCTCACCGTTTCCTGGAGTTCTTAAATAATATTTTATTAGATCTGTTTAATTAACTAACATTTGAAGGAATGAGGATGGATAAAATATTTCAATGAGAAAGTTGTAGATTGGTTTGCAACATATCCAAATCGATAGTTTTGAACTTTATAGCTGTTCAGTATTAGTGTTGTTCTGCTAATTACAAATGCGCACAAAAAATATTCCGTGACAAACCCGCTTGTGCGCTAGTGCACAAAATGATTCTAGTTCTCTTTAACATTCCGCGTATGAACGACCATAGCATTTGCCCATTGTGTGGTCTCGGCAGGGCCACAACGATGGTGGTGGCTTTACGGTAAACACGTTTTGCTATTGACCACAAAAACTATAGCCGCTGTGACTGCTTATCACTGTCATGAACCGATGCGAGAGAACCGTGTCGTTCGTAGCCCCGATAGCAAAGGACGTGCCCATTCTGTAGCACCGTATAGGCCCCATATGTCCTCCTCACCCCACTGAGCCTTATTATATTCCATTTAACACCCTCTAGCTCCTCGAATAGTTCAGCTAGACTTGCCTTACTAGATAAGGTAACATTGCGAAGTCCTAGGTTCCAATGGCGGCCTTTCCGGATACAGAGATTCTTAGCACCCTTTGATGCGTTGCAGATCTGACCACCACCGTGGTCAGTGGCTTCGCAGCTTGTGGGGACTGGGGGCAGTGAGTGAATTGACGTATGCATGTGGGAGGTAGTGGTGAGATACTGCACCAGGGTGGTCAATCCTTCTCTGGTGAAGGAGTGCGTTACCGGCGTTGGTCACCGGTGAGGGCGCAGCCTAGGGCTTTTAATGCAGTTCCTTCAACAGCGCGCATTTTTTGATCCGGTTGGGAACTGCGCAGCACCAGGAATCGAACCACGGACCTTTTGCATACGAGGCAAACGATCTAACCAGAACACATCGCGTAGGCCTATAGCCTGCGCTAATACAACAAATGACATAAAAACACGCAATTCCTTTTCACACGCCGTTATTTTTGCATTGAGAATAAGGAAGTTGAAGGAAGCTAGTAAAAATATAGCCTTGAGAACGGGAATTCGCTTTTGTGCATTGTATACTGAGGCAGGTAAACTGTGATGGAAGTAGAAACGCAAGACGTGGCAACATATGAAAACAAGAACTGAGTGACGGCGTTGCATTGCGTCAACCGCTATCCTAATTATTTTTATTCGCCGTAACGCGTTACTTGTAAGCATCATTTTCTTTAGAAGTCTAATACATAAATGAAAGGCGACTCTTGACTTTTGTTTTTTCACCTCCTTAAGATCCGCATGAAAATTAAGCCAGCTCATGTTCACACTATCGTCGTTTTGGTGTGCGTTATGTAGCTACCAAACCAGGGAAATATCCTGCTTATTGGGTGTCCCTTGGCGCAGTGCAACAGTAAAATTCACAATGAAAATAAGGGTGACGAGCAGAACCGTTCAGGTACTGCTTCTAGGTAAAATGCGTGGGCTCTCACACATCAGTGATGGTACAATCTAGCACTGCCACTGGTGCTGGCTTGAATTCGAGAATGTGCAGAAACATTTTGTGCTGCCCGCGCAATACGATTATGACAGCCGACAACATTCGATACTATTTTGGCACAGTCGGTTGCGATCTGCGGTAAGTGAGAAGCAGTGTCACAGTTTTCGTCGGTGACAAATGTTCTCTATAACACATACAAAAATCCATGGCTGATCCTTCAGTCATAGGAATCGGAATAACACGAAAGACAAACGGGTCTTCGCAGAAGTAGGGCTTCTTGATTATATGAGAGAGTGTGCAATGTATACTGGCGTTTGACAGCTATAGCATTGTTTGACGTAAATAAACTCACGTCACTACCTTATGGCACATCCACATGACGGTGGTTAACGCCTACAATGATGATTTAGCCGTTACGGTAGCTGAAGTTTTCACCAGATACCCGGACACAAACGGTCTTGCATCCCGTGGAAAAATGACATCAACAAACACGTGTTAAACACGACTACTACATCAATATCCACGTCTTCAAGGCGTTGTCAGTGAAGAAAACGAACGGCATGATGTGCGCTCGTGAGTAATAGGGTAACCTACGCCAGCGCTCATACACTTTACTTCTACACTGCGCTTCAGCAACACCAGGAGGCAGACCTTCATGACTTGAGCCATGAACGCACGCAGGGGCTCCATTTCCGGGTGGCCTGTGTCTCCCTCCTTCGAGGCATGACATTCGCCCGTCGACGGCGCATTCCTCCAGCACTGAAAAGCGCAGGTGCATATTAGGCAGTGCTATCGCATCCGCAGTAGTCTGCGGCGAAACGCTGCTGGAGCATATCGAAGCTGTACTACTCCGACAACGAGCCGTGGCACGTCGATGAATTGTCTTCACATCGCTAGTATGTTCCGCATTACCTGCTTTAGTCGTGCGCACATGGCGGAACCACCCGACATTTTCAAGAGGAAGCACTGTGTGAGAAGAATGCGTGACAGATGGAAGGGCATTTTTAACGAGCGATGCGGCTTCTTCGATGTTTAGTAGGTAAAGGAGCGGGCGCCTATCGGCGTGGGCCAGGGACTCAGGGGTTTGATTTCGGGAGGGCGAATTTTTCGTGATGTCTTTAGGAGCTTCCTCTGCAAGCTTCGCATGCTCGTTCTTTGTCAGTTGGTAGCGGCCGGCGTGTGTACGAGTAATGCCAACTTACACTTCTCCGGTCGCCCTCACGGTGCACTCTCCGTTGATTCTAACAACACTCACCTAGACGGCACACCGCCACCCATGGCTAGAGTGACGGAGTTTCCTAAAAAATGTCGCTGAAAGACGATAATCTTGCGTGTGGAGAAAGTGAACAATTAATTAGGCGTTCTGGCCAAGAAAATCGGTAAATGGTATTTTGAAGGCGTTGCGTTAGAGTGCCTCGAGCGTGCAGCGGAGGCGAACGAGCGCAAGTCACATCACACGTGAGACATGAGCGCCACCTAGCAGTCTTCTTGCGAAACGAAGCGCGTGAATCTGAGACGGGTGTGCGCGCCCGTCTCAGAGGGGATAAGGTGAGGAACGCAAGGCGACGGGTAGGTTCCACCGCCATCGCGTCTTAGCAAAGCATTGGAAACGCTCACATTTTCGCGCAAGCGTTGCATGCTCAGCGCAGCGTGATAAGCGCTACGGTCCTTAAAATTACCTATGTATGCATTTATTAGTAAAAGATGCACGTGCACATTATATACGGTTTGTTATGGTGCCCCTGGACTTGCAGAATAGTTGCTTATGAATTGACAATTGCACAAATATGAACATTAAATCTGGAGCAACATTGGTGGGCGTTGTGGATGGGGTCGGCCGTTTCAACTACCCGTGCCGTTAAGAGTGGACAAACACACAAGTGTACAGACAGACAAGTGTACAGACAGACAGACAGACAGACAGACAGACAGACAGACAGACAGACAGACAGACAGACCACAACTTTTGCGTCGAAGGTCCCCAAAGAAGTCTAGAGGGGACTCTGTCGCTGCGATCGTTCAGCGACCATGGGAATGATGGGTAGTACACACATTTGCCTAGTTTCATACTTGCGGTGGGTGAATCGTACTTGCGGCTTCTTTTATTGCCGTGTTTTGATTTTGTTATGAATAAAGATTGAACTATTTTGAACTTTGTGGCCTGATTTGGGAAGGTAAGTGCAAAAGAATAAGGTGGTGAAGCGCAATCGCTGAACATTTTTTGATTTTTGTGTCGTGAAAAAAAGCTTCAAGCCACACGAACACACACGGAGTCAAAATCAGGCCAGAAGTACAAAAATTAGACAATTGCGTGTACTATCCATCATTGCAATGCTCGCTGAATTGCCGTAGTAGCAGCTGCCATATACACCAGCGCCAGAGCTCTCTCTAGTGTAAATTAGGAAACTCTATGGCTAGAGTGACCTACAATATGGGAGAGTGCCCAAAGCGCCGCGCTAATACTTGAGAGGAGTGAAGACCTTTTGTGGTGAACTTCCGTGCCGCAGGCGTTGTCGTGCCAGACTCGTGGGCTTCTCCTGCGATGGAAGCCGCGGCAAAGTGGTGGGCGCCTGCAACGCACCTGATGTTTTCGCGGCTGTTAGCCAACACTCCGATAATTTTGGCATTATTGAACTACTATGGCTCTAGAACGTCACACTGCAATGGCTTACCGCGCTTATAACGCGCCTGTCTGGTGCCAGAGGGAGATCTGGTTTGCTTACGTCTATATCACCGCAATGATACACACATTCTCGGCCATCTGAGGAACGCTTTCTCGACGCACTTTATCATTAACGAAGGGGGCTTGATTTAGTTACCTGTGGAAGGACGAACGTAGACGTGTTACAGAAGATGAAAAGATATAAATCGTATAAATAACCACTAGAACGTAGCAGGTGTGTGCGCAGTAAGTAGCTAGCTTATGCTAATACGTTTGAAACCTCTTATATTTTGTGTGTTGGATTTCTTCCTCTTGCCCAGCTTGTTTTCTCGGATAGTTGAAATATTTAAATGGCCCATACGAAGCGGTATGCGCCCGTCTTTGTGGGTGCGGCACTAAAGGGGGAAAAAAAAACCTAGGTAATTGGCGGAAGTCTAGCGTCTCGTTAAATTGGTTTATGATTAGTCCCATTGTATGACTAACACCACAAATCGGTGACGAAATCAATAACTGGACAAGTTTACCTTTTACGCCACCATTAACATAACAACTCGCCAGGTCCTGAATTGTAAGTGTTGTCACTTAAGACAGCTCGATAGCTCGGTGGAAAATACACGTTGTTTTTCTTCAGTCAAAAAATGTTATTTATTACCCCCCCCCTCCTCCGTGGACACTTCTGCATCGAACGTGGTTTTGTACTACCTGTAGAGTTTAGAGTATTTTAACTCAAGCTTCTGCACCTCACTTTCATTTGCACTGCATCCGTGATTGCTTGGCCGATCATGAGACAGTGTAGAGGCACGATGTCATAATGAGGCGACATGAAGGCGTCACAAACTTCGGCATCGTTTATATCATGATGACGTCATCGCGCGATAATTTTTTGCTTCACTCGTATGCCCAGGCGTGCTCGCGGAGTGGGGGGCGGGCACGTCCTTAGTGTCCTGAGAGAGGGAGGGGGCGCCAAGTGATCACCTGCTTATAGTGAAAATATACAGAGAGGGTGCTGCGACACGTGGGTGGCGGGCTCAAAGTCAGCCCCAAACGTGGACATAATAGGTATGGGGGCACGCTGCGATGAATCTTTACCCCTCTCCCCTGACTGGTAGCCGTGTAACCGTGTATGCACGCCTATGCTCGGACGCGCTTTCACCGCCGAGGCGGCACCCGGACGCCGAAGGTCAATTTGCGAGTTTCAGGAAGAATCTAAGGCTTTTAATATGACGCGTGGTCCGATTTGTCTCCACCGGAAGATGGAAACTTGGTCATCACCTGTCTTGAACACACCCATAGATATTAAAGAACTGGTCGCATCCGTAAATTTCATGCAACAAATATTAGGTACAGAGAGAAACAAGACAAATCAAATAAATGAACTTCATTTTATGAGCAAATGTCAGAAAACAAGCTTACTTGGGACATTAATTACTGATGCGGCTTTCGCCGTGCGTTAAAAAAGTGTGACACTCGGCCAATTTTAACAGTGCAAATAGCTTTGATTGATATCGTATACTCGATATTTTGGGCTTCGTAAATATACATTTCTCTCAATATTTAAATACTTGGAGTTATGAAAACGAATGACTAGTAACAATGAAATATTCTTTTCATAATTTACCTCATTCGAAATTTTTATGCTGATGAAATTTTTCCAGATAAGGGCATTCCCGACGCATAAATATCACCGCAATATCAGATTGCAGTCGAACGGCCGTGTTCCCTTTTAGCTGTTCTCTGTTTTTAAAAACAAGTAGTGAAGGCTAGCAAGTTATCTAGTTAGAGCATGGGTGTGCGGCTGCGAACCACCGGCGACCGTGACTAAAAAGCCGTTACCGGTGGGCGAAGCGGTCACGGCAGCAAGTTATTCACCTGACTTAATTAAATGTTGGGTTTAACACCCCAAAACCTGCATATTGTGAGCGCTGACTATGTACTTCATCTTCATCTGTATGACCAAACCATTGTAGTGATCATCATGGTATGTCACGCGGGCTGGCTCTCTGGCTCGTGCGTCTGGATTAAAAAAGGATAACCTGGTTGCTGCCGTACCGGACGTGGTCTCATAATATTATTATTAGAGACGCTGTAGTGGAGGACTCCAGAAATTTCGACCACCTGGGGTTAGTCAACATGCGCCGAAATCTGAGCACACGGGCCTACAGCATTTCCGCCTATATCCAAATTGCAGCAGCCGCAGCAGGGATTCGATGACGCGTCCTCTGGGTCAGCAGCCGAGCACCTTAGTCACTAGACCACCGTGGCAAGCCTATTGCAGCTGAATGAAGAAGTAATTTACTTTATTCATTACTCGCATTTCTTGCATGTATGGTGTTATTACTCGCTTGCTTCTGTGAATCGGGCTATTTTCGCTCTTTCCTTTTATGTTATGCGTTTTTGAGCATGCACAGCTACCAAATTAGCGTACACGAACTCTAGCACCATGCGTGTTGATGACGTTTTAAAGACAAATGTTTGCGTTCCCTTGAGACCCCAGGCACTAACACAACTCTTAACGATGGGTGAGCTCCATTCCACACCTCATTATTAAGGTTGAGCATATTTGAAGTGCCCTGCTAGCAAATACAGCTCAAACACTATACCGTGCGTAGCAGACGCCCTTCGCTTTCTGCGCGCTTCCGAGAGCAGAAAGCCCACAAGTCCGCCACAGCAGCGGCGTGGCGCGGAAGTTCACAGCAAAAGGTCCCCACGGGAGCCAGCGCTTTGGACACTCTCCATATCCTAGGTCACTCTACCCAAGGCGTCTGTGTTCAACGGCCCGCGCGGTCACCTGTTTCCGGCTACGTCCACTTCGTTCTCGTCGCATCGTAGGCACGGCAGCAAGTGACAGGTTACTACGATCAGTGTAACGCGCCAGTAACGATGTCTTTCCAAGCCCCCTTACTTGCGTGCTGTGAATCTTATTCAAGAAAACATGATAGCTCCCCGTCTACCATTTATGAGCGTTTGGCATTTAACGCAGGGCAGCGACCAGTATGCCATAAAGGGGCAGGTGGTTACGTGTCGACTTGTGTGACCAACATTGTGCAGTGCCAGCCAAGGAATGCATACGAAAACGCTGCCTTTGACGTATAAATCAGGCGTCGGCTCGTTAAGAAGCCTTCCTACAGAAATGGTCTCTCCAAGAAACGCCCCATGCCCCTCAAAGCAAACACCTCTAACGTTATATTCACTTTGTGGACATGGCGGTCTTTTTTTTTCAAATATGGTAGCTCTAACTGCCTAAATGTCATATCCGGTCAATACGACACTAAAGTCTTGGTTGAGCCCGCCATAAAAATTTGTCACCTTAAATTAAGCATGCAGCCTGCACAGGTGCGATGAAAAGCTGGACAGAGAGAGAAGCAAGCGCTCAGCCTCGATTCCTCCACCAAAATCAATGCCGAACTAGGATTCAATGAAAAACATTTATGCTGGTTTAGTGGTTATGGCGCTATACTGGTGACATGACTGTCGCGAAATTAAATGCCGGCTTCTACGGCCATGTTTTTTGCGAATTCAAAAATGCTTGAAGAACAGCAGATGGTCCAAATTTCTGGAGCCCTCTACGGAACCCTTAAAAACTTTATCGTGGTCTTGGGGTGTGAAATTACAGATGTTATAATTATTATTGGTGTAAAGAATATTATTATATTGGCAATAATAATAATAATAATAATAATAATAATAATAATAATAATAATAATAATAATAATAATAATAATAATAATAATAATAATAAAACATTATTATTATTATTATTATTATTATTATTATTATTATTATTATTATTATTATTATTATTATTATTATTATTATTATTATTATTATTATTATTATTATTGGTTGTCGTAGTAATAGTTTTAGAAGTACTATTACGATCATCGGTCAGCCGTAGTGAAGGCCACAGCAGCCGCGAACAAAAGGAGGCGTGTTATGACACCACGGCTTTCTTCAGCTTATAGATCTGAGAAGCTTGAGATGCATGAAACAGGAGGGCGAAGTGGTGGCTCGGAAGGACGTTTTGTATAAGCGCAGCTAGACGGAGCGCCGTGGTGCAGAGACGTCAAAGCTAGACGGGTGTGCCGAACTAGGCGAGGCACGGCACTCAGACCACGCGCAGATACGTGTGAGCTCGGCACTGCATCTGGCATACATCTTGAAGCTGAACCTCACGCTCACACAGTCCTTATTCAAAATAGAACTACGAGTGGACTATGACAACGGATATGAAGAAATGTGGGCAGGCTTCGTACTTGCTTTGCAAATTATAGGGTTGCCTGTCGAACGGGAAATGAGTCTTGATCGCTCCCGGCCGAAGCATCCGGTGAGCCGACTCTGCACCCAGAAGTTCCAGGAATGGTGAGCGTAGCATAAAATCTGTGTAGTCCTCAGGTGACTGGCCCTTGTTTAGCACGCAGAAGGCGATGTAACTGCGTCCATGTCGTCCCGCACTTAGGGTAGCTCACCACAAAAATATCGTCTGGTCGAGCCACGTAGTTGAGGGCCGAGCGCACGTTGTCGTCGTGCAGGAAGTCGTTGATAAGAAAGCCGTCCACTGTCTTGCACATGTTTCGAAGCATTCTTGTTTTGAAGGGATGGGCACCGTTATCTGATATTTGCAGAAACAAAATGAAAGAGCAGATCATGAGAATAAAAAATAACCAGCTAATGCTAAATGTGCTCTTTCCGAACGCCTTACAATTGAACGCCAAGGTTTCAGAGAGGCTCAAGTGGAATTCAACAGTCCTTGCTCTGTCTGTAAAACTGTTGCAACAGAAGCTTGCCGTGTGGCGAACTACACTTTTGTTTGATTTTTCATTCTTTCTGTCATATTTAGAATTAAACAAACGCCGCCAAATGACTGGAATATAACTGTCCTACCTGGTACACATGAAGTATTCCTACCTGTAAAAGAATTCAAACTATTTCTCTAATGTTTCTCTTTCACATCGAGGCTGCCTCAAATAAGAATACTAAACTAGATATTCAGCAGAAGATAAAAGTATTGAAATAGGTGTTCTATAGAAGACGTAACAGAGCACATCTCCCCGAGTTACTCACTTTAACGATATTGGAAAGCACTTTTCCTTTCGGCATTACTAAAAAATACGGAAACATTGGAAATGGCTTTTCGAGGCAGCGAAAGTCCATCACTTGTGCGCTTCATTAAATAGAATGCTTTTTCTCGGTGCATCTACAGTTTCAAATCGACGAGTGACTTGCACGTAGTAACTACAATTTATTCTTATTTTGTTATTCATTGTTTATTTTAGACTAACAGTTATGTCTTATTGCTGGTATTCAGGATTGTTTGGGGGCAGGCGCTATACCAGGTTTTTGGGTCACTTCACCCCTCATGAACACTAAAAGAATAAGCCCTATAGATCGACGAGCACAAAGAGGTGAGCGGACCTAAGACCAGCACCGGTCCTGGGTCAGCTGTTCTTTTTGTGCTCCTAAGTATTTAAGCACTTATCCTTATAGTGTTCACGGATAGCCAAGTAGCCCGACAGTCTGGTATGTCACCAGTCCTTTCGGCAAGTTATAAGCGCAAAAAACTGACAGTGATGTGATTTTCTGCTTTGATGCTTTTTGGTTGAAAATTCAAATTCAACATATGACCGGGTGGAAAAGTTACTTTTTATTTCACATCCTCTATGCAAGCACCACACACAAAGCAATTACCCTAAAGTCTAGCACTGTGCGTGCGCTAACAGCAGCTACGTTGCGATGAAGTCTTACGTGATAAAATACACACAGAGTGAGACCTATATTGCAAAAGTATTGGAAGTTGGGCCAGTTAGTACGGATGCAATTTTGGTTACAGCGCGAAAACGACGAAGATAAAAGATAGGAGAGACGAAAACGAGCGCTGTATTTCTACGATATGACACCTGGAATTCCCAGCTTCAACGCGCTCACACCTGACTAGTCATTCGTGTATTTCATCCCGGTTATGCGTTTCCGGGAACAATATGCATAAAACTAGGTGCTTCAAAGTTTATTATTATTATTATTATTATTATTATTATTATTATTATTATTATTATTATTATTATTATTATTATGTTTATTATTATTATTATTATTATTATTATTATTATTATTATTATTATTATTATTATTATTATTATTATTATTATTATTATTATTATTATTATTATTATTATTATTATTATTATACGCTGTTTTCGTCCCAAAACTAAGATATATTATGTGAGATGACGTATCGCAGGGCTCCGCATATTTTGACCATTAGGTGTTTCTTAAATCATATATGTCTATAAGCACCATTCAGTCAAGTTTCGAAGTCTGACTGCCGCACCAGAATACATAACGTAGCGGATGAAAAAAGAAACCTTGAAACAGCACCGGCGAAAATGTGTCCTAGTGTCCTATATGTTGAACGGTGCTAAAACCGTTGTTAGAAAAAGTTTTCTTGTGAATGAAGTTTTATTCTCTCTTCTAAGACCTTAAAAGCTATTGTCTTGGGAAAAGAAAATTATTTTGTTCATATCCTGAAATTCAGGCATATATGGATAAATGCCCACCGACGTCGCAATGTACAGATACCTCTAGCTTTCGCCTCAATCGAAACGCGACTAGCGTGGCCGGGAGTGTGCCCGCCACGTCTATGTCTGCACACGAGCACCATGACCATTGCTTCCACGCGGCGGGCGTAGCCTTCGTTAGGAAAAATTTACGTAATACTGAGGAGCTTTTAGTACACTTTGAAAAACACCAATTTATAAAATATACAAACTTGGTGATTAGTTTTCGTTTCGCTAAGAGTTATCAACGCAGTCGTTATAATCTACGTTCCTGTACAAAATCAAAACTTATGCACTCACCAGGCAGCAGTGACGGAAGAGTGCACCCAATTTTTTTCACTGAAGGACAGGGAAGCCTGCTGGCCTTCTAGTGGATAAGCGCGTTCATATACGTGGCAGGTTCTGGAGTGTGCTGGTGTTAGAGGCTACATTCTCTGAAAAACGCTTTTTGCTTTATGCACAGGGAAATATTTGAACGCACACATGTGCCCTCGCACAGCTGCAAAACGGAAGTGAAGCTATGTTTGCATTCACAATGTATCCTGACTGCTTGCACGAGGGGATGTTGGCAGCAATGCACGAAGGGGACAATAAAGAACAACAAATGACATTGAAAAATACTGTTCACATCGACCATAGTGTTTGGAATCGCTCGCCCAACGAAGGTAACGCAGCTTGTTTAGATAAGGAGGACTGCCATTCGTCCAAGATGCCATGAATTGTTAGCGCTGCGCACAGTCTCTCTTTTCTGAAATGCGATGCATTGCTCAGCAAAACAACGTAACTGCACCCACAGAGCTAAGCCAATGTGTTAAAGAGCTCACGATGCTGATGTCGTCATATTTTGAGGCTATTACAAGTCTCTCCTGGGTTTTCTTTGTAAGCAAGGGCATTCCACAAGAATGATCATACCACGGTGTACGAAATATATTATTCCCACAGATCGTCCTGATAATGTCAGGAGCTTTTAGTTCCTCTAGGTGCATGGATGCTATGAGTGTCCCCTTTGAAACGGGACTTTGGCATGTGTGCCACCAGGCTTGAAAAACAAAACGGCAAGAAAGGTTGATGTTGGCGTAGTGTTGGCGTAATGCGTTATTGATTTAATTCAATTATTCCTATAATATCAGAAAAATATGAATTCACTGTCCATCTATTTAACTCTTCAGGCAGAAACAGCTCACATTTCCCGCTATTTCTGTCCTCTATCTCGTTTTACTTCCACCAATACTCTAACCGTCTTTTACGTGCTTGTATTGTGGACGTGTGCCGCTTTCCGTAGTTGTCCCTACAACCCAAGGCCTTATGTAGCCTCATGCTCACACGTATACCTAGGCGATATTGCCGAATTCAATCAGAACAAGTCAAATTGCTTTCTAGGCTCGCCCACAGCATGTACATTGTTTTTCTTCTTTATTGAACCTCAATATACATCTACACCTTCTATGGCAACCCGACCTCACTTCGAACAGTAAAGCACTTTTGTTGCACTTCATTAAAAGTGTCCCCCCTTATTTCATTTTTGCCTCTTTGGCAATTACGGAGAGCTTGCTTCTTTTCCATCATTGTCATTGAGAAATCCTCTTCTCCGCCTCTCAGAGTTTTCGCTTATTGCTCCTTGTTGCCATATCGCCAGCACTACCAGTCGTATATTTAGTGGTTAAGCACCAAGTTATTTTTATGCCTGTGTCCACGCTCACTTTTCCTGTACAAATAACTGAACACATTCTCTACCCATCTACTCCCCTTCATTTTTTTAGTGTCTCTTCAAATATCATTTGGCTTTGAGGTTACCTTACTTAAAATCTTGTTCATCGTATATCCCCCTTTGTCTGATTTGTCGTGTTCCCGTGAGCTCCCTACACGAGGCGTCCCAGAGTCTTTTGATTTGCATTCATTCCTTCTTGCACCTCAAATGTCATGCACATTACTCAGATACCAAAGGGAATCCCAAGAACAATTAAGCATTTACATGGACATCGAAGCCCTTCACACCTATTGTATCCCTATATAACGCTTTGTGCTGTATTAGTGCAGCATTCCTCTTTCCCTTTCATGCCAGTGTTTTCTTCTTGTACCCCCATACTTATCTCCCTCACTCGTTCATACTCGAAGGCACTAGTACTCGCTTACCCTTGGTATTTTTTTGCCTTGTATTAGAATTACATGGTCTTCGAGATAAATAAGTACTATCAATATACATTTTATTGCAATAAACTTTAGTGTTAGAGTCTCGTCTTTCCTTTTTATTCCGGGTGTTCAAAGTAAGGTTTTATGACTTGTTTATATAAGGCGTTTACAGGAACGTGGAAACCGTTTGTGCAAATAAGCTAATTGGCCAGCGGGACAGAAAGTTCAATAATACTTAACGCTGTCAACAGACCTATTAACTAAACTTTCGTGAGTAACTTTTTACTGGCTACAGTGATTTGGCATGTTTACATAAAAACTAAAGTAAGCTGTGGTGTTTGCGCACAATTTCAGTTTCAAGATTTTTGTTAGTACGCCTGTGCTCCGAAATATCTGGCTCCAAAGTTTGTATTTTGCATGATTACGTATGATTTGATTGATATGTGGGGTTTAACGTCCCAAAACCACTATAAGATTATGAGAGACGCCGTAGTGGAGGGCTCCAGAAATTTCGACCACCTGGGGTTCTTTAACGTGCACCCAAATCTGAGCACACGGGCCTACAACATTTCCACCTCCATCGGAAATGCAGCCGCCGCATGATTACGTATGCAAGAGAGTGAGGGTCCGCGCAAAGCTCCTCCCTGAAGTCACGCGTATGTTGCGTGCGCTGCTTAGTGTGGGAATGGGCTGGAAGCGTGGGCATAGGTGATTAGAGTTAGCCTTGCTCTCGTGGCCGGTGAAATCGAAGTGTGGTAGGGTGGTGTGCCTTGAGCCTTACGCATGATCCTGAAGAACACAGTAACAGGAAATCAATTTTTGCGATTTTTTTTTTGCGAGTGGCACATAGAGACATCTTGTGAATGCGTTAGCTTGACCGTCCTGCATAGTTTTCTTAATCAGCTAGTTCCCACTCATCACTCTCCTCACTTTCCTGCTGAATCACTTTCCTCACAACAATATCTGCTGTGAAGCGCTCTTCATGTGTACTGAGTTGCGGGCACGGCATTCACCAAAGCATGACCTCAAATACGCTCGTCTTTGCTTGTTTACAGATTTCGATTATGATTTCTGCAAGCAGCACCACTTTTCCAAGTGTGTTTTACTCCGTCAAACACCTTTCAACAAGTGGACGCATTCATGCGGTTCCCCTGGAGCCAGCAGCCTGCGTCATCGACGAGCCATGCTGTGACTACGTGGTCCAGTCAAAGATAGATGTGCACGCCCCTCAACCGTATATAAGGAATTCTCGGATCCACACGGACTCAGTTGCGGGCGCGGCACTCACCAAAGCATGACCTCAAATACGCTCGTCTTTGCTTGTTTACAGATTCAGATTATCATTTCTGCAAGCAGCACGACTTTTCCAAGTGTGTTTCAATCCGTCGAACATCTTTCAACAAGCGGACGCATTCATGCGGTTCCCCTGGAGCCAGCAGCCTACGTCATCGACGAGCCATGCTGTGACTACGTAGCCCAGTCAAAGATAGATGTGCACGCCCCTCAACCGTATATAAGAAATTCTCGGATCCACACGAACTCAGTTGCGGGCGCGGCACTCACCAAAGCATGACCTCAAATACGCTCGTCTTTGCTAGTTTACAAGTGAGGCGGTGCTTTTCATGTTTTCGAAGCAATGAACTATTTCTTATAGTCGTTCCGTGCCCCAACACGCTGTTGTTTCTATCTTGTAATTGCTGGTCTGTGTTGCTGAAGTTGGCTAGGAGCGGTGATATTGAGACAAACCGCGGTCTCGCTGTACTTGAAGAAAAAATTGAACAATATTTACAAACATTGAAAGAACAGACAAAGACACTTGCTGATATAAAACGTGATCAACGTGCGCTTCAGAAGGAAGTAAAAGATAATGGCAGCGTCATAAAAAAATTTGAAGAACGGCTGTCTATGATTGAGTCGTCCCTTCCAAAATTGACCGAAACTAAAGAAGCGGTTTCTGCTTTACCTGAGCAAGTGGCTGTGCTTTCCCGGAGGGTCGACGATCTGGAAAATCGGCAACGAAGAAATAACTTGATCGTCTATGGTCTTCCTGAGAGACCAAATGAATCAGCCGATGAACTTTTTGAAACTGTGAACCAAAAGCTTTTTTTTTCAATAGGTGTAAGTCCGTGTAGTGTAGAACACATACATGCATAATTCTGGGACGAAAACACCGTTTCACGAAAGCCATGCTTAGTTGCTGATAATCTTCAAACCACATAAAAATCCAGGAAGGTGGGCCCTACTTTTGATGCAGTGACGGTTATTAATCTGAACGCGCGCAGTGTCTTGAATAAAACTTCAGCCATTGAAAGTGTTTGCTCGAGTATGAACCAGATGTACTCATTGTTACTGAGACTTGGTTGAATGAATGCATTAAAACTGCGAGTTTCTTCCTCCAAACTATATAGCTTATCGTAGAGATCGCGGATCTAGGGGTGGTGGTGTTGCGATTATCTGTAAAAGATCAACTGAGTGCACAGAACGTCCTTCGTCACCTGAAACTGAATGTATTGCATGTGACATGACTTTATACGGCAGTTCGTTCACATTCATTGCAGTGTATCGTCCTCCCGATTCTTCGGAAGACTGTATGCTAGCTTTCAATGACTTTTTACATAGGGAAGTTCAGAATTCGAAAAAACAAATTGTAATGGCCGGTGATTTTAATCTTCCGCATATTAACTGGGTGGAGTATAAAGCGAGTCAGGTTGAATTATTACCATTCCGAACTCTCCTAGATGGTGTGTTCTCGCTCAGTATGGTTCAAGTTGTACAGGAGTGCACACGAGTACACGAAAAGGGTGGCTCTTTACTTGATCTTGTATTTTGGAGTCCATCACTGGCTGAACAAAAGTACACTTGTGAAGTGATGGACGGTATTTCAGATCACAGAATGGAGATTCTTCAGCTATTGGGCATGCACCATGAAGCGCAAGCGACAAAGTCTGTACTGGTGCCCAATTACTCTAGAGCGGATGATGTTTCTATTCTGGACTCTTTTGACATTGATTATGAAGATTTTAAGCGCATTGCTTTATGTGATAGTTCAACGGTTGATGATGTGTGCATTAGGTTTAAAGAAACTGTACACACACTAATAAAACGTTACATACCTGACCGAAAAAAAAAAGGTTCAAAGAATGAATTCATGGGTTTTGCAAAAAAATATTCACATGAAACGACAACTAAGGCGCATGCGGACAAATCGAAAAAGTAGTAAACAAAGTCTCAGATCGGCTGACATCACGACGCACTCTTTGTCGTTCAGAGCTGAGCTGGCTGACGCAAAGA